AGGGACAGGGGCTGGAGCTGAAAAGGGAAGCAGAGACCCTATCTGGAAGCCCTGAAGGCCAGGCCAAGCAGTTTGGATGTTTTTGAAGAGCTGCAGTCCATTCCATGGCAGGGCAGCCTCCCAGGCAGAGAGCAACTCTAAAACATGAAGACATCTAGAAGACAGAGAGGAAGAGATAAGATCAGAGATGTAGAAACCCAAAAGGAGGCAGCTGCAAAGTTCCCAGAGAGACAGCATGGAGGGGATCAGGCCAGAGCCAAGGAGCCCTTCCATCCCAACCAGGCAGTCAGGGAAGACTTCCTGGAGGAGGCAGCCCAAAGCTGTGCCAGCCAAAGCAAGAGCTGTTTAGAGCCCAGGGAGTGGGGCTGTGGGGAGGATTTGCCCTGGAGGGGACCAGCCACAGAAGAAGGGACTAGTCAAAGCCAGGCCATGCCCGGGGACAGACAAGCCCCACCACTGCCTAGAGATACCCCTACCCCAGCCAATTTGAGCACATCCCAGAGCACAGGCTGCACCTGGCACCACATCCACATCCCAGCGAATCTTCCCAATGACTTCACAAGGTGGAGATCCTTGCCCAATCAATGGAAGAAGCAGCTGGATCCCAGAGAGGGTCGATCACTTCACTGAGGTCACACAGCAAGGATTTGGGTCCAGCAGTCAGAACCAGTGTACCTAGCACCATTTGACCCTTCCTGGGGCTGGGGGTATCATTCAGAAACACTCTGACATTATCATCCTGGTCTCCGGAAGGGGTGAGGAGCAAGAACTGCTCTATCCACATCCCATCCACAGCCATTCCTTACAAGGCAGGGATAGAGATGGAGTTACCCCATTGGACAGGGAAACAAACTGAGGCTCCAAGAGGTGAAGTCGCACGCGTGGGTCCGTGGCCCATCGGTGGCCGGCAGGACCTGAGTCCCGGTCCTTCTGACTCCATGTCCTGATTCTCGGTGATTCTTGCTGAGGCCTTTCTCTCCCCTCCTACCCCTCCTCCCCCCCCAACCATTGCTGTTTTCCTGGCTCCCTCTCAGGGAAAAGAACATGCTCTGAGTCTCTGTTTCCCTGGGAGAAATCCATTTTCAGAATCTGGAGGTGTTGAAATGTGTTCTTTTTTCCTCTCCAAAGAGCCCTTCTTGAGGACAGAGGTGCCCCCGGAATCCCTCCAAGGCCAGCACCGGCCGGGTGGGGGGCGGGGATGCTGCCTGTAGAGGCCAGGTCTCGGGGACCCTTGTTCACCCAGGACAAGGAGCACTGGGGGCACTCCAAGAGCTCAGAGCACACCCTGGCCCCCCAACCCAGGACCACCCGCCCTGGCCTCAGAAGACCCCACTTGCTATCCCTGCCTGGCTCCTGGCGACAGGCTTTGTGGCTCCCAGGAGTGGGACAGTCACTGAGCCTGCCTGGTGGAGGTGCCTGGGGGGCGGTCCGCGGTCTCCACCAGACTGCCACCCTCCCCATGACAGCAGGGCCCCAGTGGTCGCGGCTGCAGGAGTCTCTTGCTGTAAGGAGCACAGCCCTCCCTGTAAGCATCTCCTAATGCCTGCAGAGCCAGGCTCTGGGGAGCATGGGGTGGCGGGTGCAGGGACTGCTTGCCATGTGAGGAGGGAAGGAAAGAGGCTGGGAGGGGCAGGTAGGAAGGGGCACGAGGGGATGAGATAGAAGGGAAGAGGGAAGGAAGGGAGAGACGGGGAGGGCAAAGGGAGAGGAAGGGAGGAAAAGGCAAAGAAGGAGCTAGAGAGGGAAGAGGAGGCAGGGGGAGGAAAGGGAAGAGAGAAGGAAGAAGCAGGGAGAGAAAGAGAAGAGAGGGAAGGAAGGAGAGGAAAGGATGGGGGAGGGGAGGTGGCGGCTCGGTGTCCACACACACCATCATTCTTCCTTCAGGCCCTCTGTCCCAAAGCACTCCCCTTACACTTGCCCAAATGCCTCCCTGCCCTTGTCTCTGAAAATGTGCTCTAGCCCAACAGCGGCCCACCTGTCCTGGCCTCTCTACCCAGTGCTTGCATCTCCTGCCCACAGCTTCCTGCAGCTGGACTAAGCCCTTTCAGGGTTCCAGTCCCCTCCCCCAGGCTGCCTCAGCTCCTCCAGGTCCCCACTGTACTCACCTCCCGCAGGGACCCCCGGGAGGCCTCGGTTCTCGGGTCTCCTAGAGCCTACGTCCCAGAATTGTGAACCCGTGTATCCCACAGGCCTGGAAGGCCCATCAAGGCCAACCTACCCAGGACCCACTCCCCAGGCCCCCACAGTATCCCCAAGGAGGGACTCCCGGCCTCCATGTTCAGAAAGGAACTGACAGAGCTGGAGCTCAGGCACAGCGAGTCCATCGCCCCCAAGGCTGTGTCTCCGGGGACAGCGCTGAGTGCCCGGCACCTGCCTGCGGAATGATACAGGCCCCACGTGCACCTGCCTGCGGAACGATACAGGCCCCACCTGCCGAGGTGTGGTGCCCAGACCTGGGGACTGCAGCCTTTCTCATCCACGTGGGACACGTCCCAGAGAGTGGCAGCCTCCTCGCCCTTCAGGGTGAGCTCTCTAGGGCTCTCCAAGAGATTCTCCCTCAAATGTGCCACGTCCCTTCCCTTCTGAGGGACTTCCATGCTCCTGGCCTCCCAGCAGGTCTCCCTGAGAAAGCTCCTGGCCACCCTGAGATGCCGCAATTTTATCTCCAGGGCAACAGGAATCACTAGAGGACCTGAGGCGACAGCACCGTGGGAGAGATTTGCTTTGTGAGACGAGGGAGGTTGTCACTAGAGACTGGGTCCGTGCCCGTGCTAGGGCCCCAGATGCTGCTCCAGCTTGACTCACAGCACTCAGGTCCAGCCACCAAGGACACCAGGGGACACAGGGCCAGGATGTCCATGGTGACCTCAGGGAGCCCCACCACAGGGTGGCCATGAGGCTATTCTGCCTGTCCCCCGCCCCACCCCCAGTGGGAATCCACAGGACCCTCTACATCCCCAAACACGTCACATGAAACTCCAGCAAAGAGATTGCTGTACGGGTCATGAAACTATCTGTAGGAAGCAAGTCCCTGCAGAAGTCCCCAGTACCGTCATCCTGTGCTGCTGGCCACGGGGGATAGACTCAGGACCAGGCTGTGCACGGGTTTATAAGGACAGCTACACAGTCTTCTCTGGGTTACGGCGCCACCTCCTCCTGGACCCTCAGTCGGTGCTCTGGGGCCAGCATCCAAGCCAGCCTGTCATTCCAGCACTCACCTCCCAGAGCAAGAGCCCCCAGAACAGGCCCTGGTCTGGGTCATCAGAAAAGTGAAAGTGCTGCAGGTGCCAAATGGATGAATGGTTGGTTGGATGGATGGATGGATGGATGGATGGATGGATGGATGGATGGACAGGTGGATGCAAAGACAAATGGAAGGAAGGAAGGATGGATGGATGGATGGATGGATGGATGGATGGATGGATGGATGGATGGATGGATGGACGGACGCACGGACACGTAGGTGGTTGGGTGGATGGATGGATGGATGGATGGACGGACAGACGGACGGACAGACGGACAGATGGATGGATGGAGGGACTGGTGGGTGTGGGTGGGTGGGTGGATGGATGAACTGGTGGGTGGGTGGATAAGTGGATGGGTGGATGAATGGCCTGAAGGCTGGGTGGGTAGACATGCCATCCTGCCTCTCCACCTCTTAGTTGGACTTTGGACACATGCTCCCCTCAAAGAGACTTCATTTCACAGCTCGACAAAGGGCACAGAGATCCCTACTGCAGGATTAGCATGTGAAAACACACCAAACTTAATATGAGTTTGAAAACATCCCTGCTACTTCTGTCTGCCAGGCAGAGTGGTCAGTGCCACTGTCACTGTGCTCCTGAAAAATAACGCAGCATGGATTTTCCACAGTCATCCCGGGAACTCCATTTCCAGCATCTTGAACTGCTTAACTGTAACAGGCTCCTGTTCCAAATACAACCACCCGCCCCTCCCAGGAACAGCCACCCCCCAGGAAGGGAAGGGAGACAAGGCTACAGAGCCCTGCTTCCAAGGGATCCCCCACTCCCACCCCAACCCTTCTGCCCACGGAATTACCCCACAGACCAGCTCCCAGGCTCCCAGGGTGAGGCCATCAGAACCATGGAAAAGGGTTCACATCACATACCCATCCCCCAGTCCTCAGCCCCTGCACGCTCCATCCCACCTCCACTGAGGGGGACTTGCAGAAGAGGAAGAGGCAAATAATTAGAGGCAGAGACTAGGCCTGCCCCCTCTTTCTCTCCATGGCTCACTCTCACCCTTACTCTCTGTCTCTCTACAAAGAGACTGAACCATAGCTCTGGGGGCTACCTTTACAAAGCCCAAGTCCAGTCTCTGTGGTAGAGATGAAGCCACGGACAGCATCTAAGTCTCCTGGCAGGAACATGACCAAGTGGGATGCTGGGTCGTTCCCTGCTTTGTCCCATACATCTGTGCCCTTTGGAATACAAGAGGCCTCTAGCCTCCCACCCTGTCCCTGAAGCTGCCTTCCTACGGCTGTGGAGTCCACCAGCCTTGGGTGCGGTTGTGGTAAGAGATGAGGCAAGGATCTGTCTTTCCCTCAAGACAGGGCTAGGTCTGGTCCAGCTGGAGTACCCGGGTGGTGGGTGATCACCATCAGAAGTCCCGGGGTGACACCTTGGCTCACTCGCTGTGGCAGATTGCAAAGAGCCCTAATCTTCACGTCTCCCTGCACCCAGACCCTTGGCCGAGCAGCCTCGCCAGGCCCTCTGCTCCCATGTGAGTGCTCACCCATGGCTGCCGTGAGCCCATGCAGGGTGAGTAGACGCAGCACAAGTGGCTCCCTGCTGCTCAGGTATGGGTGCTGCTTCCTTCGTGTGCCTCCGCCGTTGCCGTGAGATCAGGCCTGGGCAAGTTTGCAGAAGATCAGAGGTGTGGAGCAGAGCACAGCGGCCACCGTCCCAGCCAGGCCCGCCAGGGAGCCTGCCCTGGCTGAGCCCTGGACCCACTAAATCGATTCCATGGCACCTGAGAAATGACCACTCATTGTTTCATGTTTATTTGTTAACTAGCATTACAGTGACAAAGATGATGGACAGAGCCATCCAGGCTCTATCTGATGGACAGCCTGTCTGATGGACAGGCTCACCAGGTAGCGCCACCTGCTCTGAGACGTACCAGCACAACGCCTCATGCAACGGAGGCTGAGGGAGGCTAAGGGCTTGTTCAAGCTCACACTGAAGTTGGTCCAAATCCAGAGGCCTCTTGGGACCTGCCCCCATGGTGAGCTGGCCTGGCAGGCACAGGTGAGTCCAACTCTGCCCTGTCATCCGGGAGCCACAGTCTGGCGAGGAGGACTGGGTTGGGGGGGGTAGGTATATTTGGGAGTGTGTGGAGGAAGGGGCAGTTGTGTCAAGCCCAATCACTTTCTGCAGCTGGACATTCAGGAGCAGGAAGGACCAGCCTTCTTGGTGGAAGGACCATCCTAGTCCACTCCGACCACATAGCTACGACTGCCACTGCATTCACGGCCCTTGATGCTGAGGCCAGGTGCATTTCGCCTGCCACCTTTCCATCAGATCCATCGGACACCTGCAAAGGAAAAGCAGTTAACTAAGAGCTGCAGCTTGAGCCCCGTGTGCTGCCCCACCCTCCATCTCCCAAGCTCCCCGTAAACCCGTGAGAAGAAGCTACCATGACTCCTTCCCAGATAAGCAAACTGTGGCCCGGAGAGGCTCCAGACATGCCCAAGGCCACACAGCCTCTAGGAAGCACAGTCGGAATTTGAACCCCAGTCTGGGATTCCAAGCATCCCTCAGAAAGGCGTGGTCCTCAGGGAATGGCCCCGGCCTACTGGCATTGGTGCCCCGGCACAGTCCAAGGCCCTTGGAAATGCCATTCTCAACATGTTTGCCCTAAAACAACTGCCAGAGAACTTCAGGCCCTGCGTCTGTCTTGAACCTGAGGCCCCGGTTGTAGACGCTGTCACAGGCCCAGGTCGTAGGCTGTGCCATGCAGGCTCTGGCTGCCTTCTCCACCAAATGGGAAGTGCTTCCTGTCAGCAGCCGCCTTCCCCCACCCACTGTGAAATTCCCAAAGCAAAGCAAACAGCCATGATTCCCAGGATGCCGAGGCTCACCTCTGTCCCCCAAATCCCGAACATCTCCTGAGGACCATGGACACCTCCAACTTAGCATATGTGCCCAAAAAACTCAGCAGCCTCCCCCATAAACCTCTTCTCCAGGGTTCCCTCCCCATTGTGCAAGCCAGAGGCCAGGTCCTGGCGTCCCCTCCTCTTGGCCTCCCCACTCCCCACATCTCCACCTCCCCTCCCTCACCAGGCAGACTCCTTCTGCCCCTAGACTACCCTGGTGAAACACCTCTTGCTAACTTGTGAGTGTGAATTGTGGGGTCAGACCTTAGCTATGCATCCATAGGCAAATCACTTCACCTCTCAGAGCCTCAGTTTTGTCATCTGTAAAATGGGGATGATAAAAACCTCTCTATATCCTTAAAAGGTAGAATTTTCTGGCACACGTCCTAACTTCTCAAGAAAGAGCAGCTTCTACTATTGTCACTATCCTTGCAGTGAGTGCAGTGAATGTGTGTGTGTCTGAAAGCATCTCTCCCCATCCAATCCAGGATCTGCTCAGTTTCTGTGAGTGAGGACCTTTCTCTCCCAGAGATGGGCACAAGACCCAGATACGACCAAAGAGAGCCAACCCCCTCTCTCCTGTTTCCACCAGATTTCTGCCATGGGAAATGGTGCTTTCTCTTCTGGGGATGGCCAGGACAGGTGCTACAAGGACTCCATGAGCCAGAGCTCCTGGGGCCATCTCGCCCATGTGCGGAGAAATCCACCTACAGTGACGCGCATGCAGCAGAAGGCAGGAGCTGACAGCCTGCGGGCCAAGGTGTTGGCTGCACCTGGTGAGTGCCTGGATGCACCTGTTGAGTGCCTGGATGCAGCCGTGCCTGAAGGCATGGCTCCTCCTGGACTTTTCACTGACTGGAGCCAGTACATTCCTTCTTCGCTAAAGTTGCTAAAGTTAGTGTGGATTAAGTTTCTGCCACGTGCAACCCTAAAGGGTCCTAACAAAACACATGAATGGGGGATAGGAACATGCCTGGGACCAAGAGGTGTCACAGAGTTGGGCTTCTGTGATGGAGAAGTCCTGTGACTTATTGATCTGGCAGGGCCCTGGCAGGAATTTTGTGGGGAAAGAATGGCCAAAGGTGGTGGGCCCCTGGCCATAGCTTGTGAAGTGCCCAAAAGCAGGAGTCGTAACACTGGCCCACAGTGCTGGCTTATGTTGGGGACTCAGTGCCAGCTGCCACTATTTCCCTACGGAGCACTCCGGTGCCGTGGGCACCATTCTGGGGACTGTGCGAACGTGCCCCCACCTGTCCTCATAACACCCTGCCTGGGAGGTGGGCTCGGATGTGCCATCCATTTTACAGAAGACGAGATGGAGGCACAGAGTTCAGGTCACTTGCCCAAAGTCACCCAGTGAGGATGTGGTGGCATGGGAGTGAAGTGGCGCCTGTGCCGGGACACACAGCTGCACAGGCACAGCCTCCTCTTGTCCTTTGCTGTCCCCCACCTGCTCAGAAGGTACCGCAAATGACTCTTGTCCCCCTGCGAGAAGAGAGCCCACAATTTCCTACCCAAGCAGGTGCAGCTACCACAGGTCTGTTCCCAGGCACCGGACTTCAAAGAGGAGAGTGGCAAAGAACCAGAAGCCTGTCCCTCTGCCCATGGCCACCTCCTGAGACGCCTCCCAATTCGACCCCATTTGCCAGGTGTCCCTGCTACCTGCTGGAGCACACCCATCCCACCCGCCCTGCCCCTGGGCCCTGCCAAGCTGGGGGGCTCCTCAGGGGCAAAAACGTGCCTGAGTCCTTGTGTGACCAGAGCCCCTCCATGACCAGTGCTTGAGTGAAGGGGGCCACCCTAAAGGTCAAACGGTTCAGGAGGACACCTGTCACCACAACACAGCCCTGGGCCTACAGTGTAGCATCATCAGTGAACACACCACCACGCACATCACTGTCACCTGTCACAGGCATCTCCGAGCCACGGGTGACGGCAATTGAGACTCCCTCTCCTCCCTGAGCTCTCTCTGTACACCTCGTCTCACTAACTTCACACAGCCCTGGGACGTCTGTGCTCTGAGGATCGCAAGCTTCAGGCTTCAGCCAGAGCCCTGCGTGCCTCCCAAGCAGAGGGGCTGGGTTTCTGACCTGGCATGGCCATGCACAGGCATGTGTGCGGCTCCACTGCACAGCCCGTGTTTATCTTTTGGACACTGGGAGTCATAGCCAATCAGACTTTACCACCAGGGTAATCAGGGCAAAACCTGCGGCTGTTCCATGGCCCAAGCGGAGGACACTGTGGCTGTACTTTGTCCCCATATGGGAAGTATGTCCTTCCTCTTATTTTTTCTTCTCACTTGTGGTATCTTCTGGCATTCCAAAGCTTCTTAGAGGAATCCTGAAATCCAGTCTGGAACAAGGCTGGGTTTAAGTAAATAGACACACACACACATGAACTCACACATGCACACATATACACTTTACACTTGCCCCTCATGTCATGGTGAACACAACACATTCAAACATTAGGCCCGCCTCTCCAGTGAAGAAACTGAGGCTCAGAGAAGCACATGGACTTGGGATGCCTATCTGCTGGTCAGGTGAACCCCACCTTTTTCCAGAGAGGATCACAGATGGAAAGGAGGGACTGACTCGCAAGGTGGCCCTCCAGCCAGCCTCAGGGCCCGGCTCAGAGCAGGGTCTGTCTTGGCACAAGTAGCCCAGCATCCCAGTGCCCCACCCAGCTCCAGGCTGGACACAGGCACCCAAAGGCAACCTCTGGCAAGGCATTGTCCTGTGCCCTGGGATCTGGCTGAGCACCAGGGAGCACAGCAGCACTCATGCCAGGAACGAGTCAGAGCCCAGGCCGGGCTGGAGGGCCCTGAGCTGCAGCAGGAAGTGGGCAGGCGGAGGCGGTACTGGGTGGAAGTGGCAGAGCATGAGGCCAGGTAGGACCAGCACTGGGGCACCTTCATCCTCAAGTGGGGCTCTCAGCAGCTGCAGAACAGCAGGCAGGGCCAGAACAGGGTCTCCTAGAACTTCCTAGAACCTTCTGGCCTGCAGAATGACCGCATGGGAAAGGCACTGGAAAGTCGCCACCCAACCCACACCTGATGCAGATGAGACCTGAGAAGGGGCCAGAGATGCCCAGGGTCACACAGCAAGTAGCCAGGGCACTGCCTCCTAGGCCTTCTCCTTTCCTTGGCCGGGAGCCCCAGACCTTCTCCAACCCCCAAATGCTGCCAAACACCCCTGCTAGATCCAGGCCCTGGGGCCCTGACAAGCCGTCCTGGCTGGGATCCCAGCCTGCCCAGTCACCCCAGAGTCCTGCCACCTCCCCCATGCCTGCCTCAAACTTTCAAAGGGATGAAGATCTGTCATGTTGAGGACACCTCTCAGACCAGAGCTCTGGGTCCCTCGGCCATCTCCCACCCCGTCCCCTGCAGGGTGTCCCCATGCTCAACCTAGACAAGCGTGTGGATAGAAGAATTCATTTTTGAAGCAAATGAGAAGTGTAAACACCTCCATGGGAGGGCCCAGGTACCCGGGAAGACCTGTTTAGCCCAGAAAGGGAAACAGATTGGCCCGGTGACCAGGTGACAGGTGCATTCACCAGACACCACGCCCCAAGGGGACTTCCCAGGAAGTGTTGTCTGCTCACAGCGGCAGGTCCTGACCAATGGTTCTCAGCCCTGGCTGCCGACATGCTGCCCCAGCTCACTGCTGCAGGTGCACGAAAGGACAGAGTGAAATACCCTGAGTTTCTCCCCAAACAAGGAGTTTTCAGTAAGTACACACCGCACTCAATTACTCCATTCACAAAGGTTTATTGGGTCCTCACCCGGTGCCGGTTCGGGTTAGTCACTGCAGAGGATCCATCTGGGCCAGCGTGGGAGGGGCAGGTCTGGAGTCCAAGACAGACTGGAAACCAGGGGTGAAACCCAGGGGCTGTGGAGGCTGCCATGCCGAGGACAGCTCCGGGAGGACCGCTGAAGAGGATGACTAGCGGGCGGGGAGTGGGGCTCAGCCATCTCCCGGGAGCTGAGAGGGCCCAGGTGGAGGTGAGGGCAGTGGAGAAGGAGGAGGAATGGGGGTCTCCAGGTAGAAGAAGGGAGCAGGGAATAGCACGAGCGGAAGCCCAGAGGAAGGAAAGTACCCGGAGGGTCTCTGTGCTTTAAGAGGTCAGTGGAGGGGACGGAAACAAAGGGCCAGTGATGAAGCAGGGTTGACACCCAGGCAGCAAGAACACTGAGGCACACACCTGTCGTTCACCAGCACTCTCCTCCAGGTGTGCACCAGCTCCTGCCCGAAGCCTCAGGAGGTCCTCCTGCAGGGGAACGCAGGGCCACCAGGACCCACCCCACCCCAGAGGGAAGTCTCAGTGACAGCCTCTCTGGGCCCTGGGAGCTGCTCTACTGGAATGGAGAGAGAGACTGCACCCATTGCAAACCCGTCTACCATGCCCCACACTGGGGCAGTGAGGTGGCGAGGGCAGGGGGGCCCTGCACCAGGGTTCACCAAGCCCTACCTTTCAAGGGCAGACTGCCCCAGGAGGATGTGTTTGGGATCAGAACGCCATCCAAAGGCCAGCCCTCCCCTCGCTCTGCCAGGGCCCTGCTGCCTGTCCCCTCCCTGCCTCTCTCCAAGTTGTTCCTGGACACCAAATGGACCCCGTCCAACTTGTCCCTCCTTTTCTTTCCCCTGCCCGCCCCCTGCTGGAATTGTAAGAGGGCAGACAGAAAGGGAGGCGGGGGAGGCCCAGTCAGGTTGCAGGGCAGGAGAAGCAGCCCCAGTTCAAACTCTGCTTCCCCCACAGCAGAGCCTGCCAGGCCTCTGGGGACCGAGACCTCTGGGTGATGCCTGGTGCTTCCCTGAGTCACAGGTGGAGCTGGGCCTTTGGCCAGTACTCTCCCTCCTGACCACTGGGACAGGACAAGACAGTAGGGGCAACAGGTAGGAAGGGCCAGGTCTAAGGTGAGCTGGGGGTGCAGCCCTAGAGAGAGGAAGGAAGGAGGGACAAGTGTTGCTCCGGAGGAGAGAGGGTTGAGAAGAGGGAAAAGGCGACCGGAGTGGGAGTTACTGAGCCAGGTTCTGTGTCCCAAAGGCCAGTATCACCTGCACCCTGGGTCTGTCCTCAACTGCACAAGAGGCTGCAGGAGCCAAATGGGCCTTCCAGCCTTGTCCAATATTATGGAGTCCGGAGGTATGGAGTATAGTCTGTGGGCCCAAGAAGCAGCCATAGATCCCCAGAACAGATGACAGCCCTCAAGAAGGGCTGCTTCCCTGAGCATCCCTGGGGCTAGAAAGAGTGTGGATCAGGTGCTTCTTATTGGGCTGGGCCTGCAGAGGGGACTAGAGGGGCCAGTCTTACAGCCACCCAGACCATTTCCACACACATGCACATGCGCACACACACTTGCACACACACACACTTGCACACACATGCATGCACATGCCACCAGATCTCAGGCAGCACAGAAAGGCTCTCCCAGCCTTAGGTGGCTTATGCATTTTCTGAAACTAACTGTGGAAAAAGGGCTTGGGGAACCATCCTATGTGCCTGCACCAAATGCTGTGTGGGTGGGGGCAGGACACAAGCCCTACACTGAAACCTCCCAGAAATCAGGGAGTTCGAGCTTGAGAGATTGTCCAGTAAAAGTTGGAACCCTCAACACCCCTTGACTCTGCCCAGGAGGGGCAACCTCAGAAGTCCCCCCAAACCTCCTCTCAGAGACCTGCCGAGTAGGAGGCTTCCCTCTCTACTCTCCTCCCCGCAAAAAAGAGGCCAGAAAAGGGGATGACCGGCTAACTCACAGGTGCCCTGATGGAGGGCAGCAGACAGGGGGCCTTCCAAGGAGAATTCCCTAGCCCACCTGAAAGACCCCTACCCAGAGTGGTGAGGGGCAGCTTGGGAGCACTGAGGCAAGGGGGAGATACCAGGCTGGCTTCCCTCTAGGTGGTAAGTTCCTGGGGTGTGCGCCCCTGCCCCAGACAGCAGAGAAATCGCCGGACTGGGAGATGGAGAAGAGGGGCCACTTTCTCATGCCACCCCGCCGCCAATCCTCCAGGCACACTCGGGCGCTTGACCTGCTGAAGCCTGGAGCCACAGGTCCAGTGGGGAGCTCACGGGACAGAGGGCCCTGCCAGAGCCACGAAAACTGGAGGGGGGGACCTCCGCCCAAGGCAGGCGTCTCCGCGCGCCCGCTAGGGCCCTGGTCCTGTGGTTGGCTTCTCCCGACACGTTCCTTCGCTGCCGAAAGCGATTCGCCCGCGCCCTATCGAGCCCAGCCAGCTCCTACCTCGGCCCGGGCGGCTAGCGCGGTCTGCGTCCCGAGAAGAAGTTCCGCGGCAGGTCCCGGGGCGGCAGACGCACGGGACGCTGGCGGCGGCGGCGGCTTCGGACTTGGGCTCAAGCCCTGCCGCTCCAGACAAGTCGCCGCGACTGCTACAGTGTCCCGGGCAGTTCAGCTCCCCAGACGGGGGACAGACCCTCCTGGCCTGGTTCAGGCTTTGCCCTGGGGGACACAGCGGTCCAATGCGAAAGGAGACTTGCTCCCGGCCTCTGGGACCCTAGGTCAAGGCACCTCCCCGCCCCGCCGCCCCTGAGCCCAAGTCGCCAACCCCGCGCCGCGCGCAGCGAGGGATCAGAAGGTCTCGGACGCCGCGGCAGGGCCGGCCAGGGCCCCACGGGTTAGGGAGTTGCCCCGCACCCCTAAACGCTCAGCACCCATTTACGGTTGAAAGTACGCACTTGACGCGTCCGGGCGCCTCCGCGGTGAGTCGCGCCGCCGCGCTCGGGGTCCGCGAAGGTGGCTCAGTTCGGGCGCTCCAGTCTCGACGTTCCCGGGGTAGAGAGCAACGTCCGGGGACGAACGGGACGGGTGCGCCCAGCGGCCGGGGCTGCGCTGGGCGAGGCAAGCGGCGAGAGGGGAGCGCTCCGGCGTTCAGGCAACAGCTACCCCTAGTGGGAGAGCCGCCCGGGGCCGGCGCCGCCCCGCGCCCGCTGCCCCGCGCCCCACGCCCGTGGCGCCCCGCGCCCGGGTCGGCTGGGGGCGCAGGGCCGGCGCCGCTTTCCCCAGCCCTCCGGTCTCCGGCGCCCGGCGGTAACCCGCCAGCGGGCTCTGCCCTCCGCACCTCTCAGCCGGGCCCCGGCGGCCGCTGACCCAGGAACCGCGGCGCCCCGCTGGAACGAGATGGGACGGGGCGGGCGCGGCCAGGGCGGCGCGGGCTGGGGCAGCGCGCGGCAGCCTCGGGCAGCGGCGGGGGGCGCGGAGCGCGGTGTGCGTGGCGGGGCGGTGCGGGGGGCGGCCGTGTGCGAGGCGCGAGTGTGAGCGCGCGCGGGAGGCGGGCGGGCGGGCTCCGGCAGGCGAGCGGCGCCCGCGGGCGAGCCGGGAAGGCGGCGGGAACGCAAAGTTGCCTCCTCGCGGGCCAGCGTCCTCGGTGGGGCGGGAGCCGGGGCCACCGAAGCGGCGGCCGCGGACCCGGCCTCCCGCGGCACCTGGGCAGCGGCCCCGCACGAGCGGCAGCGGCGTGGGCGGCGTTGGCGGCGGCGCGCGGGAAGCGAACCGGAGCTCCGGCGCAGCTCGGCTCGGCGGCCGCCGGGGAGCTCGGCTCAGGTGCGCGGCGAGGGGGGCGCGGGCCGGAGCCAGGCGGCGGGGACCAGGGCGGCGTGCAGCGCTCGCGCCAGCTGGAGGACCTCCCCAGCGGACGCCCAGGTCCCCGGTCGGGCTCCCGGTCCCCAGCGGCAGCGGCGACCGGAGTCCCCCGCCCCCGAGAGCTGGCTGCGGGGCCCGGGCCCGCCCCCACCGGCCCCAGGCCCGGCCGCTCCGCCCTCCGCCCGCCTGCGCCCGCCCTCAGCCCACGATTTCTAGGGCATTGGCCGCGCCGCTGGGTGATCCCTCCGGGCTCAAGTTGCAAGGGGGCGGGCCGGGCTGGAGGTGGAGTCTCCCGCCAATTGAAGCCTCGGCTATAAATTGAACTCCCTGCACTGCCGAAGCCCAGATGCCTAGCCAGGCCGCGTCGCGGTTGGTGGTCGGAGAGGGCGAGGGGTCCCAGGGGGCTTCGGGGCCTGCAGCCACCATGCTCCGCTCCCTGCTGCTTCACTCCTTGAGGCTCTGCGCCCAGACCGCCTCGTGCCTCGTGCTCTTCCCGCGCTTCCTCGGCACGGCCTTCATGCTTTGGCTCCTCGATTTCTTGTGTATCCGCAAGCATTTCCTGGGCCGCCGCCGCCGGGGGCAGCCCGAGCCCGAAGTGGAGCTCAACAGTGAAGGCGAGGAGGTGCCCCCCGATGACCCGCCCATCTGCGTGTCCGACGACAACCGCCTGTGCACCCTGGCGTCGCTCAAGGCGGTGTGGCATGGTCAGAAGTTGGATTTCTTCAAGCAGGCGCACGAGGGTGGTCCGGCGCCCAACTCCGAGGTGGTTCTGCCCGACGGCTTCCAGAGCCAGCGCATCCTCGACTACGCGCAAGGGAACCGCCCGCTGGTTCTCAATTTCGGCAGCTGCACCTGACCACCGTTCATGGCGCGCATGAGCGCCTTCCAGCGCCTGGTCACCAAGTACCAGCGCGACGTCGACTTCCTCATCATCTACATCGAGGAAGCGCACCCCTCCGACGGCTGGGTCACCACTGACTCCCCCTACATCATCCCGCAGCACCGGAGCCTGGAAGACCGGGTCAGCGCAGCTAGGGTACTGCAGCAAGGCGCACCCGGCTGTGCTCTGGTCCTCGACACCATGGCCAACTCCAGCAGCTCGGCCTATGGCGCCTACTTCGAGCGTCTCTATGTCATCCAGAGTGGCACTATTATGTACCAAGGTGGCCGTGGCCCCGACGGCTACCAGGTCTCTGAGCTGCGCACTTGGTTGGAACGCTATGATGAGCAACTGCATGGCGCTCGGCCCCGGAGGGTGTAAACATCCAACGGACAATTGACTGAACTTGGTGGGCTGGGCCTTCGAGCCTTCGAAGCCCACATGCAAGCGCCTCAAACCAAGTCACGCTTGGTGAGGCCCCAGTGACACTGATGTGCTGAGCCACCATTTCAGACCTAGTCTGCACCTCGGCCAAATGAACAGTCTCCCCTACCTCCCCTGGGACTCTGCTTCTGTAACTGTGTCATTCACACCTGCCTGGCTCACTGGAAATCCTCTTCTGAGCGCGGGATACGGCTTGCCCTTGTCCGTATGCCCCCAGGACTTTGCCTCTACAGCATTTTCTTACACCCGCTCCCCAGCGTGCCCTCAGCCAAGTGCTTTGGCCGGGTGCTTCCCGCAGCGCACAGAGACCTTGGCCACGCCTGCCCGCCCTGAGCGCAGCTGGGTTCCAGGAGACTCTCAGCTCACCTGAGCTAGTTGCCTGGCACCCACCTGTGGCGCGGGGAGAGGGGGTTCCCTGTTGCTTTTGTGTCTATTTCCTATCCCTGGTAGGGGAAGGGATGTCGGGGATGGGGAGGGGGTGGGCAGGGTAGTTTCCCCCACTTGTTTTGGGTGCACAGGAGCCCCACTGCTGATGACGAACTGTCTCTAACTGGTCTTGACCACGAGCTAGTTCTGAATTGCAGGGGCCTCAAAACAGCACCTAAACCTTGAGGGGGAGAGTGCTCTGGGTTTCCGTGGGGGAAGCCACCTTAAATGGGAGGGAAGTTGGGGTGTCTGCTTTGGGACCACAGGAAGATAGCTTGAGAGGCATTGGCGAGGTTCGCAGCGCCCCAGAGAGAGAGAAAAAGCCGAGACTCCTGGGGAATGATGTTGGGGTGATGGAGTCCGGGGAAAGAGAGGTGGGGGGAGAGCCTGAGGTCCCCAAGTGAGGGGAGTCCTAGGCAGAGCTGCTGATTGTGGGGCTGGGAGGTGGAGGGCCCCTGATTCGAAGGCCATTTGGTGAGTGTTTTGCTGGAAATATTTCTTGTATATAAACTTCTTTCAATCTACAATAATAAAGGCTTGAAGTAAACTGCTTTCTGGTTGCCTTTGGTCCCTTTATTTTCTTTTCCCTCTGAATAGCGGCAGGAATTAAACACAAATCCCTCTCTCGCGTCCCCATAGTGACCTTGGGAAGGGGAGCGGGAAGGAGCCTAGGCTGGCAGGGGCGCTGGAGGAGGATGGAGGAGGAAGAGGGTCTGCGGCGGCGCCCGGGGCTCTCCTACAAGCGCACGCACACACCTGGACGGGGAGCTCAGCTGCGGAAGAAGAGCGAGGTAGCGGAGCGCCGCGGGATCCTGGAGAGCCGCGGGAGAGGCAAGAGGGTCCTCTCTTCCTCCCGCGCGCGCGCACACACACACCGAACAGATGCAGCTGCCCCTGCAGCCGCCCGTCTAACTTAACTGAGTATCCGGCGGTGTGTGGAGGGGGTCGGGTGAGGTGGAGGGCGAGAGGGTCTTTGGACCCGGTACAGCCCTGCTCCCGACCGCCGCAGGCACCACTGCGCACCTGACTGCTCCCTAGCTCCCTTCCGGCACCTGCAACCTCGCCTCTGGCCCACCCGCTCCAGGCTGCTCAGGTCCGCGGGAAGCGCGCCGTGGCAGAGGGGCGCCCACACTGCAGCTGCGGCTCTTACTGCCGGGCCAGCGTGCTGCTGGGTGTGCCCCCTGCCTAGGACCCCCTCCTCCTGTCCCTCCTCCGCTTCCCCAAGGTCCAGTCAAACCCCACCACCCGCTCTGGGCTGGGAAGCAGAGGTGGGAGACCACTGGGATGAACAGAGAGACCAGGGAGAGGGCAATGGTGGAGTCCAGGGCTGAGGCGGGGATTCGGGGCCTTAGGCACAGGTCCCCGCCTGCAGTCACGGCCAGGGGCTCCGGCGCAATCTCCGCCCTCACTGTCTGGCCTGCTGCGCCCGGAGTGAGGGCGACCCCGGGGGCGCGGGATTAGCTTGGCCCGCAGCCCCTGCGCCAGTGAAACCCTGAACAGGAAGTGAGAGCCTGGGGACACAGGGAAGGGCGCTGAGGCGGGAGTGTGCGGACCCAGGTGAGGGAACTGGGCCCCTGAACTTCCCTGGCGCGCCGGGACAACGGCTGGGAACCCAGGACTTTCAGGTTTGCCTGGGGTGGGGGTGAGTAGTGTCGGTTTGCGCGCTTGGATGTGAGCGCGGGTGCACATGGCAGGGTTGGGGAGGGGCGCGGCAGGCAGGATGGAAGAGACGCCCCCGTTCAGCCAAAGCCGTCCCCAGTTCTGCGCCCAGCCCCTACGCTGCTCCTCCGTAAAAACTTTTTGGAACTGACATCCTAAATTGGTGGATTTTTTTTTTCCTTTAAAAGTATCTCAATTGAAAAATAACTTTAAAGAAAAATTT